GTTTTTGTACTTAGTGTTCGTGTTAGGGTATGGCATGGCCATGTTTGAGGTGTGGAGCTGGAGGTTTAGTTAGTTTGTGGTTAGTGGTATCCGGAATGCAACAACCTGGGGGCTCGGCCCTGGGGCTCGTCGTATGACAGTGTTGGCGGTACGAGTTTAAATAAAATTGGATTGAATTCTAAGTACTTTTCCTACTTATTACTTTAACGAATATAAAACACCTTTACGATCTTTATCTTTATTGCAATGTTATCATTATGCCAAGGAGAGCTCTTCACAAAGAAGAGTTAGAGAAAGCTTATGATAGGTCTTCCCGATAGAAGATAAGGGTCTTGTACTATCGGTAACATAGGCAGAGGCCTAGTGCTATCATAAGACAAAGAAAGAAGGAGAAGAAGAAGAGAAGTATCGTTCCCCGTCGCCAAGAACTAACTGTCCAAGAAGGGATCGTTACATTAAGTTATAGAGTAGTTTAGCAAGCCTGTTGAACTCTTCTATAAACCTTCAATATTAGAGCATTGTGAATATGTCCACGGTCATATACACAAGCGATAAAATTATATATTGTTGACCATTAGTGTCTGACGAGAGTGGTGACTGTAGATATTTTTTGAAAAATATAAAAAAATACAATCATCATCTCTTTTTCAGAATTACACCTCTCTCACCTTGAGGATTTTGACTTGTATCTAGAGTTAGTACAGAGAGGGGAATCCTTTTTGGAAGGCATTATCAGCTTGTATCTCACTTTTCACATGTTTATTACGTGAATGAAAGGGGTGATACTATTTCACAACATTGTTGAGTCAGTTATGACTCAGCATCACTAAGGCTTTTGTCTAATAGCTGTATATATACTCCCACTAGTCTTAAAAATCACCTGAGGCTAAAATATATTTTAAATGTTTTTCTTTTCTCAAATTCTATTTGTCTAAAACATTCCTGAGACACTAATTTCTACTTCTTCAAAACCCACACTGTATTTTAACATTCTAAAGCACCATCTAATTCTTTAAGTTTTTACAGTAAATATAAATGTCAACTGAGAGGAATCATTCAAGTTTGATGTATAGTTCAATATGATTTTGAACATTTCAGACAAAGTCACATAGCACTACTTTAGGATTATCAATATGGGTATAGTTCTGATCTGTTATATCTTAATATTACTTTCAACCTGAAGTCCATTCATTCTTTATAATATTATATGAAATTTAGAGAAATTTTCTATCAGGCTTCAAAGATATCACTCCAGAAATACCATTCATTGTTGTAGCCTAAGACAATAATCCTGCTATTATTTAAACCATACACTTAAAATTCCATCCGTCCTTAATGTCCAAATATTGATGCCTTCAATTCAGATATCTGATGTCTTCCAAGTTAAGAATTTTTTCACTTATACAACTTGTTTCCTCATTATCACTCATGCATTATTTTGTCAATCATTTTTTCTCTCCCTTTTCTACCATAGTCTACCCAAGTACTGGTTCTAGTTCTTGGTACAGTTCAAGTCATTCAAAACATGTACCAGGCTGAAAAAAATATGTTACATGTGGCTGTGCAATTTAAAATACCAAGACTTCATTCTTGGCAAGATATGTGAAAAGATTAGGTTTTGTAATTAGGGGTTGTACATAGAGGACTGACTTTTATATTAGAGAATGAAAGCTATTATACTGGCATTTACATATATATTAAAGATCTAAACATACTTGGTACTAATTCAGCACTATCCTCTTGTTCTCCAAGTTCTTAGGAATTCAAATCACTATCATCAACAGAACTTGCGGCAGACGAAATTGAACTTTGGAGGTCAATGGTACAGGGTCTTCCATCCAGACAGCCTACTGCCTGGCTGGCAGCTCTTGCTTTCTTAACACGTGGCATAGGTAAATAAAACTTTTTGAATATTGATAATAAAGGATTGAAGATGCAATTCTATCATATTAACTATGGATTGTCATAATTGCTTCCTCTCATATTGAACTGCTAACTTGAATATAATAGCATTATCAAATTTAAATACATTTAGGATGTAAGATAAATTTAGGTTTTGAGACCAAATTTCAGGTTTATTCTATGCAAACCTTATTCCCAAGAAAGATATCCAGGCTTACTAAGCAGATTAAGTGTGGCTATGAGTAGCACTTTTTCATCATATAATTGCTCTCGGCCTTTTTAAGATTACCATTATGATTCGCAATTTTCCGATATGGTAAAAGCACGAAGCCCACCTACACATCTATACAAACTGTCATCTCTCCCGATTCAGAGAAAGTTGGACAAAATATAAGGAGAAAGTAAAGGACGAGGCGAAGCCCTCTTTAAGGACTATTTGGAAAACCCTTTGAATACTGTTAGACCCCATACTGTACAAACAATTGTATTATTAAAGTATCGTCATATGTTGCTGCCACTCTTGATGGCAAATGATAATCCTGGTATGGGTCGGGGGTGGGTAAGAGTTGTTTGTTTTTCTTCACTCTCCAATAATATTATGATCTCGAACAAATTACATATCTCGATTATTTCCTGTGCCATAATGCAATCAACCCTCACGAATATTTTTCTCCCCGTCGATAATTCGCGAGCCAGAGAGGATCTCGCAGTGCTTACTTAAGTTGCTCAAAAGCAGTATGGGGGGGGTTGGTGTAAAGATATAAGAATACGAACGCACACCGGTGCTTAACCCTGACTTATACTGTAGCACCTTCCTCACTCGCTCAGCACACGTGAATCGCTTATTTTCTAGTTCTATCTATCAGCACCCTGCGTCCGTTTCTCAGTCATGCCCAAATCCTTACCACTCCTAATCCGTGGGGTAGTCCAGTAGACTAGATATTTTTCCTCACTCCACTGATCTCTTCATGTTGTTCCAAGATCTGGAGACGAGAACAATATTCAGACACCAAAACCGCTGTCGACGGAATTGTTTTTCTCCAACGAAGTTGTGTTTCTCCCTTGCGCTCACCGTGGTTCCTCATTTTTTTTGTGGGATGTAGCAGGTACCTGAACGTTAACAGAGTCCAAGTATAGCTAGCAAAGTAACATGAGCTCTCATACCCCACGTACTTTAGCCTACACTCGCGGAGGACAAACTTGTACGAACTGTATTCCCCCCATAAGCGCCGGCGCTGGATCAAGGATTTATATTTATTATAGGCAGAATGTTCACCTAAGCTATCGCGGATAGGGTTTCCGTTTCCAATATATCCAGCTTCACAATCGACTGGCTAAATCCATTCTCAGCGAACCGATTACCCTTTTTCTTGGAAAACTGCATTTCATTATTTGTCCCCTTGACGGCAACCCGGTTACAAGCTATTCTTTCCCCCAATCGAGAAAACGGAGATGGGATTACTCCCTGAGCGTCGCGGCAATATACACATTACTCACAGTACGAGTACAGTAGGGGCGGGTATCGGATGTCAGCAAGCAGCGATACCGATGAGATGCCCAAACCAAAAAAAACCCACACACCGAGAAGCGACCAACGCTGGGCACTCCTAATAATACCCTCATGAGATCCCGCGCGCGGGATGTGGGTGAGATAATAATCCACAACTTTCACTACACTGTCATAGTTCCTGTAAATGATGCATACCCTTCACCCCGTCCAGGGAAATCTAGCTGTAAGACAGACGTGCTGGGAAAAGTATTATACTATACAGTTACAGTATTGTACAGTACCAGTAACTACGGCGCGAACTTGGCGATAAAAGCAACCAATAGTCTACCCGGTCTCCAGACAAAATGCACAAGTTTCGCCTACCCCCACAAAGGCGTACGACAAACCTCCCCTCTTCACTTCAAACGGCGATTAAACATGGATAATCACGAGGAACCCGACAAGGTAGACTTGCGAAACCTTTCCGCGTCCTGCTAAACCGTGGGGGATGGGTAAAACGAAGGAATATCATAAAGGGTCAGAAATCCCATACGAATCACCCGTCTCGGCACACTGATTTTTTGGGCGGCTTTTTCTCGGAATTTCTGGGATGGCCCTTCTCCCTTACATGTCCCGCGATCAAGTGAATCATGAAAGTTGGCGCAATCTGTAGATTTTTTGTTTTGTTTTTTTACCCCCAGGCCGTGGCGATGAGTACTTGTAGACGCTGGTTGGAAGAGGGCATTATAATATGGAAAACACAATGGCTGTCAATTCCTTCATTGGTCGCCAGGTCCGCACGAGCAGAGTGTGCGGACCAACCAACCAGAGTGTAAACCATATGAGTGTTCCCGCCCCCCCAACCCCACTTCCTGGGCGGGGGGGGGGGCTGGGAATGTTTTGCCGTGCGGGTATTATGACAGGTGCCAATTAAGTAGTAGGGGGGCAGTGAAGTATAGCTGAGTGAAAATTGGTGGGAAGATGCGATTTCCGCTAGTCCATGTAGGAGAGGAAAGGAGAGCCCTCTCAAGAGAAAGAAAAAGAAAGAAAGAAGAAAAAATTCGCTGTGCCATGAGTACTGGGATGATATATCGCGGACCGCTGGAAAGAGATTACCCGGTTACAATATATGCTGCAAAGCTCACTATACGAGTAATATCAGCATGGATCTTTCTCAACCTTGAGCCATGTCTTTTGTATTTCTTCTTCTCATCAACCGCTCATTCAATAGTTTTTTCCAGCACGAAAAACGAGGAGGGGAGATAAGGGGTTCACCTATTGCGAGGAGTCCAGGGAAGAAGTCTAGGCGCTGTGGCCCCCGTCCGCCTAGAGGGGTGACTCTGTGGATGGAGTTACTCCATCCATTGAAACAGGCGGCTACCCGTAGTGTTGAGGGAGGACCAATGAGGTGCCTGCTGCAAGGTATGATCTAGTGATACTACCGGCACAGTGCGAGTACCGTACTCGCACAAATATTAAAGAATTGTGACACTGGGAACTGGTTCGCGGGAAAAGTCGCTTGATAGGCTGACTTTAGATTGATAGCCTTCCGGCGTCCCTCCACATATTGGCGGATGACGAAGTTGGCCTCGCACTCATAAGATGGCTAAACTCCCATCCTCGTACTGCATAATATCGTACATGCTCTACTAATCTCAGCATTTCCTAGTCTCTCCACTCAAGTATCCTACACTCCCAGTACCCGGGTGGAATATCACCGGGTACAATACCCGAGTACTGTACAGTACCGGTACTCGAGTACAGTACACCATACACCCGGTAGCACAGAAATAACAACACCCCGTGACATACCCCAAACCGAAACTCACGGCTACAGCTCCAAATCCCCAAAAGCCAAATTGTATACTGCAAACAAAAAGTACAAGATATAAGAAAAATAAAATCCAAGTCCCCCAAACTCTTTCTCTCCCCAACCTAGACTAGTAAACACGATGACTTCCCCGCCCATCAGTCCCATGCATACGTCTCGCCCCAGCAGCCTAAGACACGAACCCCAAATTAGCGCCCGCCCATCAACCAGATTGTGCTGTAAAAAAGAGAGACCAATCACACCTTAACACCGGGCCGATGCGTCAAACTTCCCCTAAGCCTCAGGAGGGCTCCAGAGATCTTATCCCCGATACTCGGCCGGCGCTTGTGATGGTGCGCCGGTGCGGCCACGGTCGCGCGATGGTGGCGACGGCTGGCAGTCCTTGGAGTGGTGGTGGTGGTGGTGGTGGTGACGGTTCTCCTGTGGGTGCGGCCCGTGAGGCGGGAGAGTAGGGATGGCTTTGAGGTTGGGTGTGCGGTTCTCATCTTGGTTCTCTCTTCTTTCTCAACAAGTCCTAGGTTTTAAAGTGTGCAGAGTATGATATGATACTTGTAAGCTTCTATCTTTGCGCGATCGGTAAATGTGTTTCAGAAGGAGAAAAATTATTTTCACGGACGATGAGACCGACATATAAATACTTGTAAATTTCCTCCAAGAGTTGAAGTTTGTGAGAAAAAACTTGTACTCGAATATATCCAAGAACCTGTTCTCCTTTCCCTCTCTCCCTTCCAGACGTTGCAAGTTGGCTCGTCATGTCGAGGATTTCTCGTCACAAGCGAGGCGCACGGGATGACGAATCAATCTGACGTCGGAAGATCGACGTGACGTCACAGGTATTTCTTCCTGGGGTAACGCCATAATTAGGCGATGGCAACAACCAACTTTATCCTTTCCAACTGACAAGCCAGCACCGCACCGCACCAGCACCAGCACCAGCACCAGCACCGTAGACTGAGACCTCCTATGACTGTTGGCTGGTTGCATGAATCACAGGTCCCCTCCTGTACCTCAGACATTCACTGACAGTAGTCCTTTTCATCAAATTGCCCACTTTCGTAGCTGAAGACTATTCACAATCCGATCCCGAAACCATTGAGCGCTCGAGTTACCAACCACTGAGCCCGTTTCATTGGAATCTCACATAATCTGATACCCGCGCTTGCGCTATCGTCCACCCAAACCACCTACCGCTACTTCCTACCGATAAGTTGACCAATAATCACTTACCCTCTCTCACGCCCAATCTCAACAAGCGCTACCGCCCCCCACACAACACCAGTTCCAGCACTGCACGAATACAATCTCCCATCACAATCCCCCACCCACCCCAAGCAAACCACGCGTCCCAGGACAAAACACCGACGGGCAAACACCTCCCTCCCGCCGGACAAAATATACATGCTCGCTCTCCCAAGGCAACTAGTACCCGAAAGCGGGGATTTGCAAGTTACACGGCAAAAAATCTGCACGTACCCGAGCGCCATTATGATACAAACCCATCATCCACTCCCCTCCCCGTTCCCGGTTGGGCACCGGTGGTCGGGACGAGTATCTACGAGCAGATTGCACCCAGGTCCTACCAGAAATTGCCGCGCGGGCACACAACGATAATGACCAAGAGTGTGGAGATTACGAGTCATGTATTGGCGTGTACGAGTGCTATGTGCAGCACAACGCGGTGGTACGGGAGCGGGGGTGTCGATCGCTCCACGCCAGGGGATGGCAGTACTCGTACAGTACGGCAGTATCGGACCCCTTCTGTAGGAATCCGTTAGGCGAGGGATTGGAAACTGCGCCCCATCTCGCCCCTTACGGGGGGGGCAGAAGTGATGACCAAGGGCACAGCCACGTTTGTGGGAAACGTGTAACGAACGTGCAGCCGGCGCGTGCTACTAGTGAGGCGAACCAAAGTGCTCGATTCGTGATGGGAGTTATGATACTCCTCGTGGTTTCCCCGAAATTGATGGCTTTATTCATGATTCGGGACCGGCTATCGCAAGGTCATGCAATATCACTCGAGTATTGCCCCTTCAGTCGAGAACGCTTGGGTGTGTGGAGGAGCCGCCTGCGCGGCCCCCTATACGGCCGCGAGGGTTGTGGGCGAAGCATCTGGATAGGGGTGATGCCCAAATTAGCAATTATTGGTCTTCGAACTCTGGAGTGCAATATCTGCCGCTAGGATTATAGCCTACGAAAGCACCACCCCACTATAAGTCGCAAGTTAGGGGGTATATTGTCAGAAATACGACGATCTTTATACCTCTGGTCGAACGCAAACCGGAGACAAAAGTGAAGAGCATGATACCACCAGGCGCTCCGAGAGGGCAAGTTTACCACTCAACTCACCATAGATCCCCCAAGATCGCTTATCAATGTTGGAATTAAGCGTTTACCCTTTGACATACCTCACCATTCACCGAAATTATAGGATTGGCACACGATCACTCATCACCCCCTCTTGAACCTTGATGAATTGGCGGTACTCGAAAGCACCGGGACATAATCCATAGCCTATCCACGGTATGAACAACCCGGCTGAGACTCCCCAATCATCACTTTAGTTTAGCGCACCCCCCGACCATGGGCTGCAACTCGCGACTAACTTAATCCCCAGCAATTGCGCTGACCAAGCTCGTCCCAGAAAACCGAATGCTCGGCAACCTCAATTGTCTTGTACCACTGCATTCCCCAACACTAACCCAACCGCTTTCAACGGGAAGCCTGAAATTCAGACCATAGGAGCATGATACCATACAACAACCTCCAACACCCCATCACCGTATATAATACCCCAATAACGAAAGCAATGATGGTCCAGAATCCCATTGTGGATATCTGGCCGTTGAAGAAAATGCGGCCACCTTGACATTGGCCCCACTAGCCCCTACCATCCAACCCGCGCGCCCCAATACTACATAGGAAAGAATGTGGACGTCGAGCCATAGCGAGCTTCCGCGAGGAGTCTGGTCGGTATGTAAATGTCGTGAACATGGAGGCATGGAGGGGGCATGACGGTGGTTGGGAAGGGCCGGGAGGGAATTTATTAGATCGTATTCATCAAATTGGGGGTCTATGGTGTGGGAAGATGTTCTGGATAGATTATATTCTTTTATATATACCCGTATCATATCCACTTTAAATACTATATATAGTAGAATTTCACCCTGGCACATTCACGAAAAACAAAGGACTATTCACTCCCCCTCCCCTCTCCAGGATGGAGGATGGAGATGAGATGAGATGAGATGAGATACAAAAGAGAAAGTGGAGAAACGGAGGAGAGACGTCATATATAATAGTTAAACCCCAGACAAAGCGAGCAAACAGTCAAAAGCACAAGAAATAGCGAAAGAAAAAACATAATTCAAATCGCTATAATGCTCCACCCCCACCCGAACCAACCGACCGACCAACCCGCCAAATCTTCACCCTACGGACCAACCAAACCAATCACTAAAAAGTGAAATGAATTTTTTTTTGTTTTTGAAAACCGACCAAGAAAGAAAAAAACTCATGCCCCAGAGAGAAAAGAGACACTTAAATATCCTACCCGGGTAAAAATGGAAAGGAAAAGGCCTCCGTTAAAAACAAGGGGAAGGGGAAGGGGAAGGGGAAGGGCAAGGGGAAAAAGAACAGTCATTTTCTTACATAACCCTCATTTGGAGACCTTCAAGATTCAAATCTACGCCTTGGTTTTTTTTTTTCAACAAAGGAAAAAAATGAAAAAGAAATGAAAAAAATTGTTGCCGAAAGGAGACATTGCTAGCGGTGAACGGGAGAAGAAGAAAAAAGAGATACAAAAAGGTCAAGAATATTTATATCAAGCCAACGAACATAAAACAGAACAAGAGCAAAAAAAAAAAAGCAGAACCTCCCGACAACCAATGAAATAGAGACCCGTACATGCAAAATTAGGCTAAGAGAAAGAATGGTATTGAAGAGAGAAAAGAGGGAAAGAGAGCAAAAAAGCTTCTCCCGTTGTTTCCCTCCGACGCAGGGCCGCTTATGGGCGGGTGGGAGAGTGGTGGCTAGCGGGCTCGCGATTTAGGTCGAGGAAATTGGGCACATAACGCAGGATCGCTGCCAGCCAGCCAGCCATACCTGCGATTTTCGGGTCATTCGATGGCATCTTATATTTGCGAAGCGGTTTCACATATCCGTGCTATCATTGCGATATATCCCACGGATTACTCGGGCAGGGTTTCCGGCCACCACTGTATAAGGTGGAACGTCCTGGTTGGTTGTTAGTCATGAGGCACGGGCAAATGTAATAGGGGGATAGAGGACAAACCCTAGTAACCACACTTCCGGCACCTACGACCGACCCTTTGCCTATTGAAATCCCGCCACTATTCCTGTCAGTTTTTTGCTTTTCAGATCATTTGCGGGGAACACACAGGACAATGACATTGCCGCCTAACCAGCAGTCTTCCTCAATCATCACTGGCTTTGCTAGCTCCGGGCCTTTGGAACCGTTCCGCTTTCGGGGATCTATTGGGTGGGTAGCTGAATAGATGCTCACATCCGGCGAGAGGACGGTCCGTGCTTTGATGGTTACCTAGACGGATCAGTTTTCACATTTACCCCGCCAATCAATGATAAACCCACGGAGCAACTATCCAAAATCGTGCACCCAGCCTCGATTAAAACATCCCTCCCTAACCGGATGTTGTAACCATAACTACAATTGAATGGAGCATCAACACGAACATCCACGATATCGCTAGGCGTGCCCGCGTCGTTAATGTAGGATATCTCCGGTCCCGTAAGGCCGTTAATTCGAGTAACCTCCCACGTCCCTCCCGGTCGTAAAATCTGGTGCAGCAACCTCCCCTTTTCAGCCTTCGAGATGCCGAGATCGGGGTTCGTGGCAGCGCTATTGAAGCGCCAGCACGCAGCCTTACATCTCTCCCGCTCCTCAACCAGCTCAGGAGAACTAGCGAAATATAGCTCAGAGCTGATCATCTTCTCCTTCTCTGAACGCTCACGAGGCATGGAAGACCCGCTGGCGGTGGCCACCGTAGCCTGCGAGACCGAGGTAGGGTGGCTGGTGACAGCATTGTTGGTCGGCGTTGCTTGTTGCGGCACGACTGACACAAACGGAAGTGCGGGTGCCTGAGGCATCTGCGTCCTCGGGGGTGGATGGGGAGTCGGGAGCTCGACAGTGTTGGGTGAGGTGGACCCCTCCGAGACTTGCTTCTCCGGAACTACCGTGGGTGTTGTGACGTAGGGGAACTGGACCACTCTGGTTTGTGGTGACTGATGCTGAGCTACCTCGTCTAGCCGGTGAGTTTGGGATTGCTTCTGCACGACGGCGGGCGAGGGGGACGCGGAGGCTGAGCCTGTTTGTTCTGTCTTGGATTGGATGCTTACTGGCGCTCCCGCCGCGTTGGCACTCCTGCCGGGTGGCTTCTGCCAGTTAATCTTTCCGGAATACCCTTCACAGACAAATCCACCGCGTTTGCAATTGCTACCTGCTAGAAAATTAGTCCCATTCGGTTAAAAACGGTATGTCTCATGTATATATGTATGTCATGGGGGGGGGGGGGGGTTAAAAGCATTGAACGATTTAAATGGTCAAAAATCCAAACATAGACCAAAAATCGTTTAGGGAATATATAAGGTAAAAAAGGCTTGCTTGCGGGGAAAACATTCATTGGACGACCATCGGGATGGACGTGGGGAGGAGGGATTGTGAACAAACATTCAGGCTTTCCCTCATCACATTTCTTCTTCCGCCTCCTACAGGTAATGCAACCAGTCTTAGTCCTATTGCTAAATACCCTCTTCCGCTTGCCCTGCCCTTGTTGCGATCCAGGTTGTGGTGAGCCCTCCGATGCTCCAGCCCTTGTGCCATCGCCGTCGTTCAACTTTTCGTCGTCCACCGTATAATTTCCACCGTGCTTCTCGTTCATTTCCGCGTGCCGACGTTTGTGTTGGTGACTGTTCAATCCACCGTGTTCCTCCGCGCCCAAAGCGGCTTCATGAGCAGCCAAATGGTGATGGGTGGTTTGTGTGGTAGGGGTGACGGCCCGCTGATTCTCGATCTCTGGTGACCTCTTTCGCTTCTGCGGCACCCCATTCATATCTACGTCCGTGGGACGGCTATGCTGCCAAAGTTCGTCCCCCTTCAAGGGATATCGCGGTGATTCAATCGTAGATGTCGCAGAACCCGGATTCTGATTCATGTCCCTCGGAGCTTGTCCCGATCCCAAGGGCGGTAGCTGTGAACGATGATTGGAATTCCCATTGGAATTGTTGACAGCTGTAAAGTGCTGAGTTCCAGATTCCTCGGTAACCTCGACGGTGGAGAGCTTTCTCCCACCATCACTCCTGATTTCACCCATGGTAAAGGGAACCAAAGTGGCGCTAGCTATGGTTTTGAACCGAATGTGAGTGTGCGGTAGCTACTGCCAGCGGAGCGAGAGTCCCGACCGGAACGAGAGGGGAGCCACCAAATGTTATAAATGAAATGGGGAAGGGGGAATAGGCAGAGCCGAGGCGATTGGCAAATATCTAGCTAGTCAACTACAGAACCGGTCTAGCGGGGCCAGGAGAGCGGGAAACCCGTAGGCGGTGGGGTGGGGACGCGAAATGCAGGTGTGTAGACGAAGGGGATGCGAGCTCTCCTTTTTATCTATTTCCCCACGGGAAGAAGTAGCATCTGGGGATGATGCAAGCACCGGGAAGCAAATACTTGATGGGCGCGAGGAGCAGAGAGTCAAAGTGAGCGGAAAGGTGAGATGAAGAAGGGAGGGAATTGTTCAGGTGGCTCTCGGTGCTCTCGTCGTGGGAAGTTGGATCCAGCTCAGCGGAAATGAGTGAATTGGGAGGTGGAAGGATAAGTGAGCGTGTGGGTTGTGGGGATAGACGTGTATGGTTTAAAGGGCGGATGGGCGAACGGGGTTTGCGGAAGTGAGCGAGGGTTTTGGTGGTGGTGGTGGTGGTGGTAGTTTGCGGTAGTGGTGGGGGGGGGAGGGTAGAGAGAGAGGTGAGAACGCAGCAGTGGAAGCGGTGTAGACGCTGAGGGCGGGTATTGGGGAAAAGAAAGGCAAGACGCACGTCGTGAGGCGGTGGACCAAAGAGGAAAGCACCAGCAGAATTTGCAATTTTCCGGCTCCGCGGCAGAGTGGCGGGACACAGCGCAAAGCGTGAGCCTGATCCTGATCCTCATCCCCAGTCCCCCAAGCCCGGCCTAACATTGAACCAGATCCACCACAGAATCTAAAAAAGCCTGCTACTCTGAATACCTTCACCAACCCAGGCACTACAAAACTGGGAAGCAGCAGAAATAATTGGGGGTTACAGTAATTGCCGCTTTAGGGAAATGGTGAAAAAGCATGGACCAAGGGAATATGACCCTCTCCCTCCTTTCTTTTTCTCCCTCCCTCTGTTCTCTTGCGGTGCCTTTCCATGTCTTCTGTGCCTTTCTCGAGCGCGAATAGCGAGGAACTAGTAGGTCTCACAATCCACCCCCCCACCCCCCGCCTCCTTGCCCTATAGAGGGTAGGGTAGCGGTATTCTACCGGTTCGAGTGTTATTCCTGTGTTCAGCGTTCCAACGTTCCAAATACCGGTTACCGAAGAACGGGTCAAGAATAATACGGATTCGTATATAAATTTACGCTTCGACTGAGGCACCAGTCTAAAAACAGTGCCTACCGTGAAAGGATATGGATCAAGCTCGGACAATATCATACCAATACGAGTACATCCTACCTGCTACCCTATCCTGCAAACAGTCACACTCCAGCGATCGATACATTAATCGTTTACGACACCGCTACGTACTTGTTACCGCACCAAGTCACACACTGACAGGATACTGCCGGTAGTCTACTGTACTAGGCGAAGAAAGCGAACCTCAAACTGAACCCTCAAACAACAACCACCCCCCCCGCTAAAGAGCAGAGCAGATTCAGCGAATGAAAGCGACAATTTGACCAACAACAGGGAGGGGCAATCGCCAAAGAGCTAAACGGGCCTTTTTATCTCCTACTGTCAAGAAACACGATTAAACCGGATGCCGGTAAACCTAGATAAACTCCAAAAACTGGCCCAATACTGACTGTGTGGCTGTCCGCCACACTCCATCTATTTATTTGTCTTCCGTCTTCCGCCATTTCTTCTCTATCTATCTTCAGTGCTTGTACTCGTGCAAGCAGTCAGATTTGTATCTTTCCTTTTTTTCCCTTTCCTCAGTTTTACCTCTCTCGACTCTTAGTGGAAAGATATGCTTCCTCTTCCTGTGCGCCAAACGCGGCTGGGGTGTGGGGTATCCTAATCCGTCTATTTCGCGCCAAAAAGGTTTCATTTTTTTTTTTTTTTTGAATTCCACCATTTCCCTTGGCAACATGGATCAGGGTAAGTCATGTAGGCCAAATACCCGATACGCGTTGGCGCTGCGCGAAAGGCAACGGGAGGCAAAAGGAAGGGGAGGGAAAAGAAAAGACAAAAAAAAAAAAAAAAGGCTTCCATCCGAGCTGAGTGTGATGCCGATGGTTATTCGCTTACCATTTCTCACTTTTTTCTTTTCCTCTCTCTTTTCCTCTCTCCTTGCGCGGTTTATTTTCATTACCAGTAACCCTTCTCTTTCGTATGGATCGCGAATGCGGCGGCAGATGCGGGGAGAGAGAGCGAGTGAGAGAGAGTGTGTGTGAGGGAATGGAAATGGGGGGGCCGCAACTCGTGATGAGAATCAAAAAATCAAAGAATTTTTTGATCTTCTGAAAGGAAGGGAAGCACCCCCCCGAGCATATCCCTTCCTCCCCAAAAAGAGGACAGCAAGACGCGAAGTGTACTCGTACTGTACGTGTACTTGTACGAGTACTCGTGCCGATAAGGGTAGGTGGGTGTTCAGCTCCCTTGCTCGCAATGTAATCGCTACACGAACCAAACAAGATTCCAAGAAAGTGACGCCGTTACTGGATATATCTTCCGGCTGTTTTCTTTGTTTTACTCGCCGCAGCGCAAGTCGGCTGTCACGTCAGGCACTTGAAGATGATGGATGGGTAAAGTACGCATGCAATGTATGGCGAGATGTAAGAAATATGAGATACGGTATGCTGTGCCTCGTCCACCATGCGACCCTACCTCCTTCCCCGTCTGCCATCATCTCCTTTGCTCCCTTTGCTGTCCGCACCTGTGCTCAAGTATAATGCTCGAGTAGATATTCCCCCCCACTCTGAATTACCCTGCAATAAATCGGCTTGACACCGGTCGGTACATAATGTCGCGTCTGGTCAGCAGGATGAGTGAGAAATAGGGAATCATGTAGGGTGTCCTAAAGGTCTCAAACAATGAGGGGGGGGGAAGAAGAAGAGTAAAATAACCACCGGGTCGCAACCATAAACCAATATCAGAGAACAAACACACCGTTACCAATGCTCCACTCCAGTCCTTGCACCATTGGCGGTTTAATAAATCTGAAGCTCTTCACAAGTTGTACAGCACTGGTCTTGTCTGTTCGGTAGTGTGCGATACCGTGCTCGTAGGGTACGCCGTGGTGGTGCCGCAGGGCAGTGTTCTTGTGATCTGATTCCCTGCGTTTGAGGGATGGTCCTTGCTCGCTATTTTGGGTTTTCAGCCCGCATCATCCGCGACCATACACAATCCCCCATCAACAAGCAATACGATGGAACAATTATCGACCTCGCGGAAGCAGGGACGACAGACGAAACAGCTCAATGGATAAAATGGCCCAGGTTGAGGAGGCGAAAAAAAAAAAATACAAAAACAACCCAAAAAATTCCTTGTCGAATCGAGTCGGACATCAAATTCAAAGAGGGTCTCCGTGATGTTAAGAGGCGGAATAACCGAGACCTGGACATCCGGGTCAAAGTAGGGGCACCACCGTGGAGTTTGATTCGTCAAGCGCTTAAGTTAGGTTTTATTGTGCACCCGGCGAATTAATTCCCTTCATTTTTGCCTCTCCTCATTTTTCCTCAGGCACGATCCATGGACTCGTACCAACCAGTCAATCAATCAGTCAATCAGTCAATCAGTCAATCGCCATTCCCATCAAGGGAGGGGGGGGTCCTCCGTCCAGTACTCGAGTATCATACTTACTTGCTCGAGCACCCTAACTCGCTTTTCCCGGGTCAGGTAGCTATTCAGGTATCTGTATTTACTTGTACAGCAACAGTGATGAGTGATTGGATCAAAGACAAAAAATCACCAGAGACAAAAAGGGATTCAAAATTCCCCCACGCATCACCTGCTTCGCGCAGAATTTACTCTGGCACCACCTACCTACTTGTACTCGTACACACCGACCTCGCATCAGGCCCCCACCTCCCTCTCTCCCTCTCTTCCTCCGCCCCCAGGAGAAACTCTGGGAATGGATAATGGATGGATGAATGATTTCCGCTCGGGAGTTGCGTTTGACCTTCTCTCTACTCGCGCGACTCAACTAACCGTTTTGTTTAGTAAACTGCCTGCCTACCACGGCTAAGGCTAGCCATGGCAGTCAAGTCAGTCAATCTACCTACTATCCATGTGCTCTAACCGCCAGAAAAGAGGAATCAAGCCCCGTCGAGGATCCGGGAAGGATAAAAATAAGTTATCCTCTGAACCTCCTCCTCCTCCTTTCCCCAATCTGCCGAGATACAAGGTATCGTACAGTACCGGTACTCATGTCGCCCGATTGAAGTCGCTCCCGTTTTTGTGGTGACGCACAAAAAAACGCGACTTCATTCCGGCGACACGAGTACATCATAATCAAATTATCATTTTCTTACAGCTACTCGAGTATCTACCGTAACATACTCGTAGTACCATCATTCTCCACCCTCGGGTGGTTCAACCGATTAAGGATCGAACCAAGGGCCTTCCTATAATTTATCATAATCTTTTTTTTTTTTCATCGTCATCCCCGTACTTTTCTTTATCCATCGTACTTTCATGTCACCATTCCA